CAGTCTCCATACTGAGGAAAAGCAGATCACTTTTCTGTGACTAGCTGATTTTTCTGAGATACTGTTGTGTTGATGAATCTTTTGTTAAATATAAACCAAACGTGTCCCCTGGATTTAGAAGATTAAAAACTCAGTAAGAGTTACAGCATCAGTATCAACATTGTCTGGCCGTATCGGTCTCTACTTTATAACTCATATTTTCCAACTTCACTTACAATACTTTGACAAGTCCACCAGGTGAGTGGTAGAGTTAAACATATTGATATTTCAAAGGTAGTGAAATAGATGCTTTGCATTTTATTAACTGAATGTAAGTGTATGGACATATTTAATGGATAGCTCTACAGAGGAACAATCCTGCTTTTGTGCAATATCATAACTTGTATTTATGCTGCTAAAATGTATTTAAGATGCATAAAAAGTAATCGTTTTGGCTAAAAAATGGATTTATACAGCTTAGTTTGTATGTTTTTCTATGTGCATGCAGCATACAAATGTGTACAACCAATGCGTGCAATATTTAGTCTCAAGTGAAATGTTTGACACTTTTAGCAGCAGCTCAAAGATGAGGATAGCTCTATTAGTGTTTTTGTCACGCTTTTTAAAATTCAAATTCTTGCCCTACTGTGGTTAATAAAGTTTTGTTGTTGATCTCTAGTGATTGGAATTTGGTCCCTTAAATATCACAGTTACAGTGTTGTTTTTTAATTGATTAGTGCGTGCTTTAAAAACATGAAAAAAATAGTGTTATTAAACTTTAAAGAAGACTTGCATGGCTGATATCAAAGACAGGAGAATGTAAATCTTCTTTTCCCTTGTAAAAACAAAATATTAAAAATACCTCCTCCTAAGTGGACTGCTATGCATTTTTCAGATTTGGGAAATACCTGTGTGTTTCTTGAGTCATGCACATGAAGCAAATCTGACAGTTTACAAGGATGAAGTAATGTGTTCTAAATATTTACTGAAGTTTGGCCTGGATTGTTTTCAGAAGGCAAATGCAATGATCACGAGACTGAAACAATGTAATGTTACGCTTCCAGGAAACATTCCATTGTATCTTTTGTCTTGTCTGGCTGACTATTGTTACTTTAAAATTTATCCTCCTTTACAATTTTTTGTGCATTTTTTGTTTGTTTTTCAAACTGCCTTCCATGGGCAGTAGGTGGGGAATTGGTGTTTTGCCCTCTGGGAGCACACAGTTCCCAACCGTGTTTCCACTCATGCATCCAAATTCCATGCTTTTACACCAGGAGTCTCCAGCAACCACTCACAGGAGCATTATAAACTAGTTGTACATTTCAGAAGTACTTTGCAATGTGCAAATCAAGTGATAAAAGAGGAAAATGTCTTGTTTGATGCACTAAATTGAACTGAGGCTCTATAAAAAGCGCCGATTGGAATCTCAGCAGTGGAGGGGAGACTGTGAGGAGCTCAGGGGCTCCAACACAAAGGAAAGAAGGAAAAGTATTGTATTAGTGAGCAGATTGAGTGCAGATGACTGACAGGACACAGGCTTTGAGATGGAGGCATGAAAAGATGGAAGCAGAACAGATAGAAGACACAGAACATCCCAGCGAGACATAAAAACAACAAGTGAGATCCTTTCCTGTTAAGGTTTTGTTTGAAGTTTTAAATTATTTTTTTAAATATTTGCTTTTATTCTTAATATCTTAGTTATTATTTTTATTCTTTATTCTAGTTATTAGTTTTATTCTTAATACCTGAGAGAAAACAAGAATATATCTCTGCCTCTTCAGATGTTTTTTAAAATCCATGCTGAAAACTGCCTCACATATAAAGATCAAACTGTTTATTCAACTGTAAAGGAAGTACCTTACAGTAAGAAAATTAGTCTTAGCATCATTGTCCAAAATTCTATCACAGTGGAAGATGAAGTACGAATAAAAAGCAATTCAACCCAGGAGCTGCCAATTGAAATGCGTAAGCGTGGAAGAGAGAGGCTGAATCTGATTTCTTCTCTGGGGAACTCTGTTTTCTGGCAGCCTGCAAGGATGGAAACCAGCAAGCAGTTACAAAATAAATTTCTGAAGACAAATTGTTCAAACTATTTGTCTTCAGAAAGTTCAAAGTGGATTTTGAAAGAAGAAGTCTGTTAAAGAGAACCAAGGTTTTCTCCCAGTGCCATTCTCTTTTTGCAGTGTAAGTGCTATCATATTATTCTACCGTCCCTCGGCCGTCTCGTTTACTCTAATAACCCGAGCAGGGCTGGTTTGCTTCCAAACTTCCAGTTTGGGATTCTTCATAGCGGATTCTTACCAGCTCAGGATTACAGTTTTGCTGGACACTGAGGAAGCTTGGCCAAACGGAAGGCCACCTGAATTTTGAAGTCCCTACTTTTGATGTGATGAGTGGTGTGGGAAGCACTGCTGCTAGAACCCCAGCACGTGAATAGCCTCTGTCCTTCAGCCATCTCCTCTGTGCACAAGCATCTGGAAGGTGGCATCTGCCACCCATCTCATGTCAAATGTTAAAGAACAAGTACTGTATGGCACTTTTTCAGTTAGGAAAAGTAAAAAATAATTAAAAAATGACACAGCACGCAAAGCTACCTGGCCACTTGTGTCTTTTCAGTCCCATTGCAGTGTCTCAAAATCACGATGGTGGTGAAGCCAACCTGGGGCTGCCAGGTGCATCCATTCCTGTGGTTCTAACTTCAGACTACATCTTTCTGCACGTCATCTCAAACATGGCTATGAATAGTTTACCTGTAGTTTAGGGATGGTTTATTTATTTGGTTCTTTATATTTCAATTGATATTTCTAATTAAAATGAAACAGAAAGGTGCTCTTGCAAGACAATGACATGGTCACTGACAACACAGTCAGCAAAACACTACCAAAAGGTCAAGTTGCAGACCAAATTGGGAGTTAGTTTTCCGATGCCTTTTTGTATGATGAGGTTGTTTGTACATAAACACATCTGCTGATGTGAATGCATTAGGAAAAAAGGACTGGAAGAGCAGTTGAATGATGCAGAGAGGTTAATTAGTAGGAAAGAGGGACGATGAGGTCTTCCAACAGCATTTACTAATTGAAGTCACTGAACTGGCATTTCGGCAATGATTTCTGCTTCAGAGATCAAGAGGGATTATTTATTCTTAGCAGTTTTCTGTCTGCAGCTCTCAAAAGTTCAAGCAGGCCAAGTGACTTCCATCATTTGTGGACACCATTGGACAAGCAGGGACGTTGCAGTGAGACCGGAGGGTTCATTTCCAGCCTGCGGAGCCCGGTGCTCCCAGGCAGGCTCTTTGGTCTCCTCTCTAACCATAAGCGGAGGAGATGACCAGGGAGATGACAGCTCCTCCAGTTCTGTTTAACAAAAAGGTTCATTTACAAGACCACCCTACACAGGTATTAACTTTTTAAAGGAAGCTTGTGAGTTTACTGAATCACATGCTCGGTGTTGGGGTTTTATGCTCTTTCGCAGCCTTTCTCTCACCTGTACGTGAGAAAGGTGAAACGTTGCTACTACACAAATCTGTCTCCCAGTACCAGCCTGAAGCAGATACTGAAGCATGGAAGAAATGGGCAAGCGTGGAATAATCCTTTGCTAGAATTTGTATTCATAGGACAAGGGGTAATGGTTTTAAACTGAAAGAGGGGAGATTTAGACTAGGTATTAGGAAGAAATTATTTTCTCCGAGGGTGATGAGACACTGGAACAGGTTGCCCAGAGAAGCTGTGGCTGCCCCATCCCTGGAGGGGTTCAAGGCCAGGCTGGATGGGGCTTGGAGCAACCTGGTCTGGTGGGAGGTGTCCCTGCCCAGGGCAGGGGGTTGGAACTGGATGATCTTTAAAGTCCCTTCCAATCCAAACCATTCCATGATTCTGTAATACTCCCCCCTTTTGCTAGCAGTTTTCATGTGAAATATTTCTTATCTTTGCTGGGAGTAAGAGGTGGGACAGGGAAGCCTGTTGTTGTTAAACTGTGTTTCTGTACCGTGTTGGTGGGCTGCAGAAAGAGAAAGGAGTCACCTTTCTCCCCAGTGTGGTCGTTGCCGTTTAGAAGCGATAATTGAGCACATCGTTTACTTTTATGGCTTGTGCTGTTTTACCAGTAGCCCAGTCTCGGGCAGATCCTTTGCCTCTACCGCAGGGATTTTAGGAGGAAAGTCTGTTTCCTCCTCGTTAAAGTGGCAGCTGCTCGCTCTGCCTCTGCTCCCTGGGGAAGCCTCTGCAAGTCGCCTCTCTACAGATGTACAGAGCTGCTGTTTTACCTTCCAAAAGGAAACCACCATGAGCCCCTGGCCCCTCCACCCCTGTGTGCCTTCAGGGTTGAATTTATGACCTGGGAATAGAAGCGACCTGCTTGTTTTGGCAGTGTAAGCCTCCTCATCTACTCAGGAACACTGATAGTGTGGTGGTCTGTCTGGAGTTTAGAGGGGATACGCTGGTTTCAGAAAGGATGTAGTGACAGTTGCAGCAACAAATAAACCTGGAAAAGCAGCAGGAGTAGGTGTATTTGTGTAAAGAGAACAGGAGAGGGATCATAAGCCAAGAATGGAAACCTTAGTGAATATGCTTATGAAGTTTCCATAACCAGGAGAAAAATCTACTCCCTTGTTTCCACGTAGGTGCCACGGCTGAAATGGGATACCTGGGCTGGGGTGATGGCGAGGTGTGACGGGGAAGGTCCTAGAGAGAGAAGCAGAACAAGTCCTGCTCCTGATTTTATTGATTTGTTGTGTGATTTCTGGGAAGATACAAAGGTCTCTGTCTCATTTTCCTTTTTCATATAATTGTGCAGCTCTGACTGCTGTGCATTTTCAGAGACAAGTTGGTGGGAACCAAACTGGAGAGTCGTTTTGTTTTGTTTTGTTTATCACAGGAAGCGGCTGTGAAAACCTCGGGAGGAAATGTCTGGCTTTGCCCAGGTGTATTCAGGCAGCCAAATGCTGCAGAAAGCACCGGTGTTAAATTTCTGTGCTCCTCGGTCTGCTTTGACGCTCCATTTCTGATGTGTTTCCCCCCACACAGGAGCAGCGCACCAGACCGTGGTACGGACACTCAGCACTGGAGAGCCTTCAGGCTGAAGCTGGCATCCCTGTTGTCCTCAGCCAGAGGCTGCCCCTGCAAGACAGAGCTGTGACATGTTCATCAGAAAAAACTGAACAGAAGATCCTTAAGAGTGAGTAAAAAGCAAATCAGACTTTTTAATTTTTTTTTTTTTTTTGTCTAAAATGTATAAAAATAATGTCATGTAGAAATGCACTTGGAAATGCATTAAAGTTCCTGGGTAAATAGGGATTGGGATGAGCTCAGAGTTTTACCTGTGGTGCTGGGTTATGGTATTTATGTCACACTGCTGTGTCCTTTGCAGAATGCAGTTCCTCTCCTGCTCTGCTGTCTGTGTACACCCCTGGTGAACTGCATTTCTAAGGGCTGGTGGCTTGAGGCTAGTGAAGAAAAGTGGTGTGTCCTGTTGAAATGGGATTTTCCTAAGGGAGAGGCTGGCTCCTAGGAAGGAGAATTGCTTTGTCAGGGAAAAGATCACCTGGAGGGACCAGCTCCTGGGGCTGATGTGAAGGCTGCATGGGAAAATACCTGGACAACTAAGATGTCCTGTGTTGTGGGCCACGTTCACCCACTCGAGCAGGGGAGGTGCACAGGAACAGGTATTTAGAAGTCAGGTTGACATAGTGCTTGGTGACATGGTTTAGTGATGGTTTTTTATCAGAGCTAAGTTGATGGTTGGACTAGATCATCTTAAAGGTCCCTTCCAACCTAGACAATTGTATGATTCTGTTGCGTAGAGCATTTTGCAGTAGTGCATTGTGCACCTGCTGGAATAAGGTTTGGGGTGATGATTGGGTTTTTCAAGCAAAAGTCAGGGACTGTCCCCTTAGAAAGCTCCATCCTCTGCACAAGGAGGGGCTTTCCATGCACTAAGCAGTTTTAGTGTTTCTTGGAAATAAGGCAGTCTCCGTGCCGGAGGATGAGCCGGGTTTGTGGGATTATCACCAGAAGCATTTGAGGGTTTAGAAAACAAAACCTGAGAGCATGGCGTGATTTATGAAGTCCATGCAGAAGACAAGTCATCACTGAGATTTGCTGATGCTTTCTGCACCAGTTGGTTTTTTTTGCATTTCTTGTCTAATCTGAGTGTTTTAATTCTAAATAACTCACAGTGATTTACCATCGACAGGAGGTGTCATGGTGAAGTCAGGCAGATAAAAGTCCTCTAGCAAATTGCAGAAAGCTGAGTGTTTCTCGCAGATACTGTGGATAGGATTCATTTAATCTAACTTTGGATGTTTATAGTGCATTATCCGAGATGATGCTTAATGAGGTAAGTAATTTTAGAGTGTGATTCATCTGACAGTTTGAAATGTGCTTTAGGACGAGGTGGATCGTGTCCTTTGTCGACCATAAAGGGAGCTTAGCTGAGTTAAATCAGTGGAAGATGTCTGCGCTGCCCAGTGAACCTTTTCCTTCACATTTGGTGTCACAGAGCTGTCCAGGGAGCCCCTGAGTTTTGGAGAGGCCTGAAAATTTGCATTCAGTCATCCGTGGTCAGAACAGCCAGAGCCAAACACTTCCTCGCAATCGGTTTGGTTTTTTCTTTTGCTTACGTGAGTTTGAGATTTGGCTTCAGTCACCAATGACTGTTGTGAAAGGAACATCATGTAATATAACGGAAGTGGTAATTTTTGAACTGTTACAGTGAATTGTAGCTCTATGATAAAACTTGCCTGTAAACTCATGTCTTAATAGAGTAGTCCATGCCATACAACCTCTAAAATGAGGATTTATGAAGATACAGCTCTGTTTTTTGGATGGATGACAGAGGAATCCTGATGTTTCTGGCTTTTAATCCTTTTGTGAAGATGTTTCAAATTTTACTGAAGCTGGAGTGAACCTGATTGTTTCTAACATTTATTTGGAAAAACCTTCCTGTGTAGAAGAGGTGGGGGAAGGAACGAACATATGAGGGCGATCCAAACGTGCAGCACACAGGGCTGGGCACAGACTGCCCGTGTGAGTGGTGGGCATGGTCTGGATATTGGGTTTGGAGCTCTGTGCACGTGAAAAGAAGCAAAAGACAACAAAGAAGCTAGCAAGGAGACAGTAGACAAGAATGCCAGCAGAGCTGAGAAGAAGCATGAGCGTGCTCCAGGGGCGTGTACTGTGGGACCGTGCTTGCACTAGGGTTGCTGTCCCATGGCTTGAGTCCCACTGGTGAAAACGTAGCTTTCTTAATCTCCTTCCAAAAGAAACCATTTAGATTGCAAGTGTAATGAATTAATCTGTTTGCTGTGCAAACTGTTCTGTGAGCAGTGCATTCCCTGTTACTTTATAGACTTTTATTCAGTTCTGTGAATGAAGAAGTGATTTCCTCTTCTTGTGGTGTAAACCTTCGCCCAACGAGCATGTGAGTGATTGTAAACACATGGTTCATTTCAGTGGCTTCAGGTGACTATAGCTTAATAAATTTTCCAGCAAAGAGCCATGAAGGGACTGGAACATCACTCTTAGGAGCAAAGGCTGAGAGAGCTGGGACTGTTCAGCCTGGATAAGAGAAGGCTCAGGAGGATCTCATAAATGTACAGAAATACCTGACGGGAGGGTGTAAAGAGGACAGAGCCAGGCTCTTTCCAGTGGTGCCCAGTGGCAGGACCAGAGGCAGTGGACACAAACTGAAACACAGGAGTTTCCCTCTGACCATCAGGAAGCACCTTTTCATTATGAGGGTGACCGAGCACTGGCAGAGGTTGTGGAGTCTCCATCCTTGGAGGTACTCAAAAGTCATCTGGGCATGGTCCTGGGCAACCATCTCTAGGTGTCCCTGCTTGACCAGGCGGGGTTGGACCAGATGACCTGCAGAGATCCCTGCTGACCTCAGCCAGTGTGTGATTCTGTGAGTTAGGTAGAACTGGCTGTTTGTCCCTCACAAACTGTTGCCAGTCTTTTCAGGAATTCTCACAAGGTTGTGTGGGGCTCCTGGCCAGGATACCAAACATCTGCGCAATAGCAGGCCCCCAGAAAACACTGAAAATGTGGATATTTAGAGAATATTACCTCACTGATACTTTTGGGTGTTGGGTCAGATGGTGAAGTCAGTTAAAACTACCTTTGATAGATCATATATGCAGTCAGGGCACCTGATTCATAAATTTGTAATGGCCATACTTACACTAATTACCAGTGAAGCAGCACAGATATGTTAGAACTATTACATTTGCTGCAACAGGAATAGCTGGCATCAGCGTTTTACAAGAAGAATTAATTGTGCAGTTAAGCTGTTGTTTGTGTTGTGGTATTTTTCGAAGACACTGATAATTATATAGTTTTCTGGACCCATTTGAGGGAGTGCCCAACCATTAAAAGCAGTAGCATCAGCCTTCTCCAGTGCAGCCCCTTCAGGCGTAGCAACTGGATGAGAAATCAAGACATCTCCAGAAAGCTTCTGAACTGATTTATGATCCTCTTTAAGGAAAATATATTTAGTCCATAGTGATTGATTTTTTTGCAACTTGCAAATAGATTTATGAAGCAAGTAGTATTTGCATATCCTTCACCATTTGTTCCGTGTATATTGTCCTTGATGGGTGTTGTACAGGAAGGGGCCAAACCCTGGAGATACTCAGTGTTCGTTTTACTGCCTGCTAATGTGAGCATTAAAATCAGGGGCACTGTGTATGGTGATAGGCAGGATGACATCTACACGAAGAGAAAAGTGATCAAGAGGGAAGGGGCAAAAAAAATTCTGTGTGTTTTATCTTGAACAGAAAACAATGAAGGAAATTCTCTGCCCTGGTGAGGCCCCATCTGGAGCACTGGGTCCAGTTCTGGGCTCCCCAGTTCAAGAAGGACAGGCAGCTGCTAGAGAGGGAACAGCAGAGGGCTACAAAGATGGTGAGGGGCCTGGAGCATCTCTCTGATGAGGAAAGGCTTCCCAATTTAGTGGTTCCCTGGATGAATCAGGTACAGCTACTTTTAGCCCATTGATACTGTTTTATCTTGGGTGTTACTTCTCCACAGCAGCTCTGGGGGATCAGTGCGTGGGTTTGGGAAGTGAGAATTCCCATCCCAGCTGTGCTGCCTGTGGAGGCAATACCATGCCCCACGCAGCAGAATGTGACCTCCATGTTCAATTCCCTGTCGCCCTCTGTTTTTCTTGCTTGCCCATTTTCCAGGGTGTGCCAAATCCCTGGATATTTGTGCTTCCTCTTGCTGTTGCTGTACCCCGTGATGGACACAACTGGAAAAATTACCTTCTCTTGATGGTAACAGCGTGTACCATAACCAGGGCACACACTGCTCCATGGGTGACAGTGGACATCCTCAGCATTTCCACCCATGTTTGTCTGAAGGTGTCTCTCTCCCTCCCCAGCCATTCCATCCCTAAGATTTCATCTACTGACTTTCAGCTTGAGCCTCATTAAGCTTTTAATTGACGCGCCGCCTGCCAGACTCTTGCACTTGTGCCAGATGCCTATTGATATTGAGGAATATTGTGCTAATACCGTAACATCTCGGGGACTCACAATGTCTCTGTGGTTCAGTGCTGAACTGGGGGGCACTGGTCCAGCTTCCTCATCGCATCTTCCAGTGCTCTCCCAAGACATCAGCTGTGATGCTACAGGAGGGGCTGTGTCATTGCTGCTGGCAGCTCCTAAGTTGTGTTTTTCTTGAAGAAGAAGAACATCTCCAGTGCTCTTTTGTCAGCTGGAAAATATTTTTGAGCTGGTAAATGTGTGTTTTCTTCTTCCCTGCTCTGTCAGTCAGAGCATTTTCTGATTGCTGCCTGGCTGCACATCTTTGCTTGTGTTTGTAAAAGGTAGCATCTAGCTCAAATTGAAGTTTGTGGCTGGGTGCCGGCTGGCATTAGATTATTGTAGCGGTGTTTTCTGGCCTTGAAAAAAGAAATCTATAAACGTAGGAATTAATTTTTTTCTTGAAATTTTCCAGCATGTCCTTTGCAGCGTTTACCTGAGTTGCCATTATGTGCTGGCTGGGAGAGTGGGGGGTTACTCGTGCTGGCAGGGAGGGGGGTTCACAGCAAACGTGAGGAAGAGGAGGGAACCTCTGCGCTGCCGTAGCTATATGGGGCCAGTGGGGTCCCCAAACTGAATGGTAGGTACTGCCTGGGCTGTAGATAATCTGAAAAGTGGTGTCTCTGA